GAAGAGGCCAAGTCCCCTGAGAAGGCCAAGTCCCCCGAGAAGGCCAAGTCCCCAGTGAAGGAAGAGGCTAAGTCCCCTGAAAAGGCCAAGTCCCCCGAGAAGGCCAAGTCCCCGGTGAAGGAAGAGGCCAAGTCCCCCGAGAAGGCCAAGTCCCCAGTGAAGGAGGAGGCCAAGTCCCCTGAGAAGGCCAAGTCCCCAGTGAAGGAAGAGGCCAAGTCCCCTGAGAAGGCCAAGTCCCCCGAGAAGGCCAAGTCCCCGGTGAAGGAAGAGGCCAAATCCCCTGAGAAGGCCAAGTCCCCAGTGAAGGAAGAGGCCAAGTCCCCAGAGAAGGCCAAGTCCCCTGAGAAGGCCAAGTCCCCAGTGAAAGAAGAGGCCAAGTCCCCTGAGAAGGCCAAGTCCCCCGAGAAGGCCAAGTCCCCAGTGAAGGAGGAGGCCAAATCCCCTGAGAAGGCCAAGTCCCCTGAGAAGGCCAAGTCTCCCACGAAGGAAGAAGCAAAGTCCCCTGAGAAGGCCAAAAGCCCTGTCAAAGAGGAGGTCAAGTCCCCAGAGAAGGTCAAATCTCCTGTGAAGGAGGAGGCAAAGGCTCCAGAGAAGGAGGTCCCAAAGAAGGAAGAGGCAAAGTCCCCCAAGAAGGAGGAAGAGAAACCCCAGGAGGTGAAAGTCAAAGAGCCCCCAAAGAAGGTAGAGGAAGAGAAAGCTCCAGCCACACCAAAAACTGAGGAGAAGAAGGATAGCAAGAAAGATGAGGTGCCCAAGAAGGAGGCTCCAAAGCCTGAGGTCCAGGAGAAGAAGGAACCTGCTGTGGAGAAGCCCAAAGAATCCAAAGCTGAAGCCAAGAAGGAAGAGGCTGGAGACAAAAAAGCAGTGACCCCAGAGAAGGAGGCTCCTGCCAAGGTGAAGGAAGAGGCCAAACCCAAAGAGAAGAGTGATGTGGCCAAGAAGGAGCCGGAAAAGCCAAAGAAGGAAGAGACGCCAGCAGCATCTGAGAAAAAAGATGCCAAGGAGAAGGCCACAGAGGCCAAGAAGCCTGAGGAGAAGCCCAAAACGGAGGCCCAAGCCAAGGAAGAGCCCAGCAAAGCCAAGACGGAAAAGGCTGAGAAATCCTCCAGCACAGAGCAGAAAGAAAGCAAGCCTCCAGAGAAGGCCACAGAGGAGAAGGCTTCCAAGGGGGAGAAGTAAGGCAGGGAGAAAGAAACATCCAGAGCAGCCAAAGAAACGTAGGAGGGTCTGGGAGCTCAAGGGTCGGTATAACAAATTTTCATGTTTTCTCTCTTTCCTTTATGTAAGAAGAAACTCTACTTAGATGACGGGGCCCTCTTTCACCAAACAGGAATTTTTGTTAGCAATATATTAGCAAGAGGGCACCCCCAATCCCCGACCCCACATCCAAACCCTCCCCAGGCGATGGACAATTATGTTATGATAGCTTATGTAGCTGAATGTGATATATGCCAAATGCCATATGTAAACACTTGACTATAAAAACTGCCCCCCTCCTTTCCAAATAAGTGCATTTACTTCCTGTATGTGCAACTGACAGGTGACTGCAATAATGAATGAGCAGTTAGAAACACATTATGCTTGAGATGTCTTAACCTATTCCTGAATGCCTTCTGTTTTCCAAAGGAGTGGTCGAGCCCTAGCCCAGAGCTCTCTATCCTGGCAGAGCTGGAGCAGGTGGGGCTGGGCATGGCCACTGAATCATGCCAGGGCGCACTTTTCCACTGGAGTCCACTTTCAATTGCTTCTCTGCAATAAAACCAAGTGCTTATAAAATGAAAATGTTGCTGTGTTATTTATTCTCTTTCCCTGGGCAGGCTGGGGGACAGGGCTAGGGGAGATCTAGATGTCACACTCAAGACTGCACAGGACAGAGCGGGCATCAGAGGTCTCGTGCAGGTCTGGGACAGTTACATGGCTTCTCACCTGGGCAAACTGTGCTGAGCAATATGCTAGGTGCTTTATTTTTATGCTGCTATAGACAGGGGCCCTGGTTTCTCAGCATGGTGCATGGGCCACCTACATCAGCATCATCTGGGAGCCTTATAAAAATGCAGACTCCTTGATTCCACCCTAGACCATTGAATGGTTATCTGTCTGAGGGGTAGGCCTGGGAAAGTGCATGCTTCACCAACTCCCAATTGATTCTAATGCACACTGAAGTCTGGGAAGAGATGTGGTCCTAAGGAAATTGAACGATCTTATTTATAGAGCTCTGCATATGTCCTCTTGTAAGGAGGGACGAGCCTTCTGAATGAGGGGCCATAGGTAGCTAATTCACCTGTAGTGAAGACTACAGTCACGACTATTGGGAACAATTTATCAATAGTCACTTAATTGGACACCAATATGCTTTGGATATGATGTTGAAAGCTGTGGTGCACTTGTGGGTTTATGTGGGGTCTTGACTATAAAATTCTTGTGCGGTTCCCAACTTTAGGCCGGTAATGATGCCTTGTGTTTTCCTAGCACCTCTCCTGGGAATTGCTTCTTTCCCTGTCCCAATCAGATGGTTCTCAGAGCCACCATATTTTCTAATTGCTTTGTACCGGTGGTCACTGGTGATTGGTCCAAGGATTGCCACCTGACCCCAAGTGAGCCAATGAGAGCCCTTTTCCGGGATTTTAAACTTGAGACCAGTGAGAGTGGCTGGCAGTCTACTGGTTGTGGAAGGTGGGAGGATGTGGGAATCAGTAGCTATGGGCTGCCATATTTCCACCCTTGTGGAAAAGCTAGTCTGTGAGAAAGGGTGTGATAGGTGGACAGAGACAAGATACCCAGAGAGTCATGGTAGATATCAGGTCCCGATTCTGATGTTCTTTTCCATGGCTTGTTGGCCATTCTTTGAGCCAATAAAGTCCTCTTTTTGCCAAATCTCATTTGGGACATGGCTCTGTCTTTGGAACCAGAAGAGTTCTGAATAATATAGTGACCGAAGAGGGTGGTTGCTTTGCTAGAAACCAAATAATCTCTCAGGGAATGAGTAAGTGGCCCCTCAAAGTTCTGCCCAAGGTCAACTTCTCAGCCCAGGGTCCACATCTCACCCTCAGCAACCATTTTCATCTCTCACTGGTCTGAATTTTTTAAAGAAAGTGCCAAGACAGTGCAGGGTGGTCACATTTAAACCAAGGGGTCTTTAAATGCCATTTTAGAAATGGTTTTGATTGAGTCTTCAAGTTGTCAAACATGTCCAAGGACTCTGTGAAAACCTAAGCATTAGTTTTCTGAGCATCTCTGTCTTAGGGAAATCAGAGAGACCTCCACAGACGCTGGCACATAGCTACAGTATCTAAATATCAAGCGGGGATTTGGGACCTAGGGAATCCTTATGTGTCTTACCTGAAAAGAAGTCACAGTTGGCTGAGTTCCCCAAATTGCTTACAATGATAACAACTACCATTTGTTGAGATAACCGTGTTTTTGCATAAATTCTTTCCAATACACATGGGAATTCTCAAGGTAGCTATTCTGATGCCTATTTGATAATGGTGAGAAAACGTCAGGTGAGTTGCCCAGAGTCGTACAGCTAGTAAGTAGTAGAGCCAAAACGTAAACCTAGAACTTAACTCCAGAGTCCATATGTTTTCTGTAGTACCATGCCACAGAAGCCTGAGCAAGTTGCTTTGGTGTTTCATTGGTTTAATTTTGGTCATCAGAGGACTGCTATGTAGGGTGACAATTGTCCCAATTTGCCTGAGATGGAGGTGTTTCCCAGAACAGGGATTTCAGTGCTAAAACTAGGAAAGTCCTGAGCAAATGAGGATGAATTGCTCTCCCTAGTGTTTGGGAAGCCACTTTAGTACATTTCAGAATATGGCAGATGATGTAATCTATTGGCTTAAACACTTTATGGACTGCATTGTGTAATCCCCCCAAATTCACATATTGCAGTCCTAACACCCAACGTTTCTGTATTTAGAGATAGAGTCTTTAGGGAAGTAATTAAGGTTAAATGAGGTCATAAGGGTGGGGCCCTAATCCAATAGGATGGGTGCCCTTATATAAGAGAAAGAGACACCAGAGATCTCTCTCTCTGCATGCAGAGAGAAGAGGCCATGTGAGGACACAGAAGGCAGCCATCTACAAGCCAAGAGGAGTGGCCTCACCAGAAACCAACCTTGATGGCACCTTGATTTTGGACTGGTAGCCTCCAGAATTGTGAGAAAATAAATTTCTATTGTTTAAGCCACCCAGTCTGTGGTATTTTGTCATGGCAGCTCTAGCAGACTAACACAAATACATAAAGGAATTCAGTGGCTGGCCTAACTGAAACACTCAAGGATGGTGCAAGTTTAGGCCCAGCTAGATTCATGGGCTGAAATGAAGTCCCTGGGACTTGATCATGTCTTGTGTCTCAGCTCTGTTTTCTCAGCATTGGCTTCTGTGATAGGCAGCCTCTAAAATGGCTCTCAATGTTCCCCACTTCCTGGTATTCATGCTTTTTTATAATTTCCTCCCCTTGAATGTAAACGTGACCTTGTGACTTACTTCTAATGACTTGAATATGGCAAAAAGATGGGATGTCATTTCTGAGAGTAGGTTATAAAAAGATTCTGGCTTCTGTTTTCCTTGTCCTCTCTTGCTCTCTCACTTGCTCATTCTGATGGAAGCCAGTTGCCATGTTGTGAGCTGCTCTAAAGAGAAGCCCACATAGAAGGAACTGAAGGAGGCCTCTGGCCAACAGCCAGTGAAGAACTGGGGCCCTCAGGCCAACAAGAAACTGAATCCTGCTTACAAGCACATAAGTGAGCATGGAAGCAGATTCTCCCCGCTGAGCCTTCAGATGAGACTGCAGCCCCAAACAATACCCTGATTGCAGCCTTGTGAGAAACCTTAAGGAAGAAGCACCCAGCTAAACTGTGCCTAGATAATAGATGTTTGTTGTTTGAAGCCACTAAGTTTTGTTTGTTATTTTAAGCCACTAATATATCTTCTCTCTAAGGAAGGCCTTCTTTTCATGGAGATCCTAAGCAGTGATGGGCTTTCACCCTTCCAGGTACAAATCAGGGAGAGAGAGATTCTATCCCTATCAGTTCAGCCAAAGTCTGAAAATTGAGTCTCATTAGATGATTGCGTCACGTGCCCTATCCCGAAATTAATGTAACGTACTAATTGGACCTGCTGGGTCACATGATAAGCTAGATCCAGGGGTGGAGTCAGCCCATCTGACTTACATAGACTAGACCTGACATTTCAGAACCCAGGGATATAGAGGATTCTAAAATCTTCCAGAGAGAAAAATACAGGATGGCCCTGAACTTCTCAGCAGCAACGATGGAAAATGCCTAGAGTTCTATACTGACAAATTAAGTGTGAAGGTAGAAAAAGGGCAATTTAAAGCATACAAAGTCTCAAAATATTACTTCCCATAAATTATTTCTCTGAAAATTTAGAGGACCTGCTCCAACAAAAGAAGAGCATACACCAAGAAATAAAATATCTAGGAATACAAAAAACAGGGACCACGACAAAAACGAGATGAGAAAGAAATCCCCAAAGTGATGACAGAGGAGTTGAAGGACAATAGCTGTGCAGCCTCTATGCAGATTGGAGTGGATCTGGGAGGAGAGAGGGAATTCCAAGAAAAAAATTAAACTGATAAAATATTTGACATGATCCACCATGTATAAAATTGAATTGAAAGCCTTTTACTGAACTATTGGAGAATGTGAGAAGATTAAGTCAATTTCAAAGAAAATAAAACAAATAATAAAATAACTCCAAGACAAAAAATTATATATGAGAGGAAGTATAATTATGGTACACTAATCAATTCAGCAGGTAACAATATTTACATAAAAATAACAAAAGTGATTAATCTGGATTACACCAAAAAGTAAGAAAAATATATGGGAAAGATAGGGAAAGGGACAACGGAGCGTGCAATTGATCAAAAACACTCATCTCTCATACTAGTCTGGAGAAAATGCTTAAAATTGATAAATCAAAGGAAAGACTGAGAAACTATCACAAACTAGAGGAGACTGAGGAGACATGATGACTCAGCACAATGTGGTATTCCGGACTGGATTCTGGAACATTGTGGAAAAACCAGTGAACGCCAAATCAAGTCTGTAATTCAGTTAATACAGTCATGCTCCACTTAACATTTCAGTTAATGACTGACTGCATATATGACGGTGGTCCCATAAGATTAGTACCATATAACCTAGGTATGTAGTAGGCTATACCATCTAGGTTTGTGTATACACACTCTATAATGTTCACACAATGATGAAATCACCTAACGACGCATTTCTCAGAATGTACCCTCATCGTTAAGCGACATATGACGGTAGTAATGTACCAACATTAGTCTCTTAGTTTTGACAAATGGACCATGATCATGTAAGATGTTAGCATTAGAGGGAGCTGAGTGAGGGTATTCAGGAACTCGCTATACCATCTTTGTAACTTTTCAGTAAATTTAAAATTACTAAAAATAAAAAGTTAAAAAGAACTGATACATCAAGAGATCCCATATGATGAAACATGGAGGTAAGTATCAGAACCTAGGATGTAGAGTTGAAGATAAGAGTAGATGGGGGTCGGGGAGAGGAGGCAAAGGCCCCTGTGCATTATTATAAGCAGATCATCACCAGTCAAAGCAAACAGGGACCGAAACAGCACCTAGTCCAATCTCTTCATTACACAGATGAGGAAACTGAGGCCAGAGAGGCAGGAGCCTGCCTGAGGCCAAACAGCCAGTTGGTAGCAGAAGCCATACTTTACTATTTGTTCTATAGAGAAAATATGAATTACATGGATATTAATTT